GGACACTTAATGGGGACCCCTACCCTATAATGGGCTGTTTAATGGGTATATAGTGGCTATATTAAGGGTATATTACCTAGGGGTCCTTATCAAGGGAACCCTAAACCCTAAACCCTTTATAGAACCCTTTTTGATCCCTTAAATACCTAGGGGTCCTTATTAAGGCTCCCTGCTTTGACCCTTGGACTGAGGTGGCTCAGCAGCGGTCGAGGAGACGTGCAACTTGGAGCTGGTATGGGCATATGTTAGGAGCTGCCCCCACCCTGTAATAGTGGTATAATAGGAGTATAATAGGGCCCTAATATAATCCTATATAATCCTTATGGTCACTATTACAGGGTGGGGGCAGCTTCTAAGGCATATGCGTGGTCGTCAAAATTATGGTCCCCAACTTGGGTCCTTACTACAATAAAGGGAACTCCAGAAAGTTGGAATATGGATTAACGGTAGGATCCCCTGTAATTTACCTTGAAGGGGTTACGAAAATGATATTCCAACTTTCTGGCTTCTACTGTACGACACCTATTATTTAGGGTACCCTAAAGGGACCTTTATTTTGACAGCTACCCATATGGGTAGTTTTCTGAAGTAGGGTCCCTTTCAAGGTGCTTCTTATAGTTTTTGGGGGAGCTTAACCCAAAACCCTAAACCCCTAAACCCTAAACCCTAAAGAGGGACCCTAATATAGTACCCTAAATAGTACCCTAAACCCTAGACTCCTAAACCCTAAACCACAAGGACCGGTCCTGGAAAGGGAGCTTGAGGGCTCTGGATGTTACTGGAGGGCTGGTAGGGTTTGGGGGTTTAGGGTTTAGGGTTTAGGGTTTAGGGGTTTAGGGTTTAGGGGTTTAGGGTTTAGGGTTTAGGGGTTTAGGGTTTAGGGTTTAGGGTTAGCACCTTTCCGGTGTTTTGCACTCCTGGGCTTCATGCTTTAGGCTATGAAGATGCCTTCTGCAAGCCAAAACTGCAGAAAATTATCTTTGTGGCTCTTAGTTGATTCCAAGTTCCTCCGCAAGATCTACAGTAAGGTTTATAAAGCATACCCATGCATCTACCGCTCTGCAATTGCACTCAACCATACGCTGCAAATCTGCCGACGCATTTCGCCGATTTGATCAGTCTGAATATGTATCCATACATAGTGGAGCCGTTTGTCTATGTCAACTTGTGCAAACATATTCAGATATAGATACTGAATAGGACCTGAACTATAGAAAGAACAGCATATTTCGCACAATCACAAGACAACACATAGCAACCCCAATACAGAACACTGTACCAGAACATATAGCGTGACAGAAAGCAGCAAAGCAACATGTCAAGCCCGCAACGTGCTGCAAATACACATTTGCGTGGAACAATACTGCCGTGCGTTGTATGATGAAGAAGCGAAATGCACATGGAGAGTGTTCGTGGTGTTTGCAGGTTCACAGGGTCCCCCAGCTCTTAATCGAGCCCAAGAGTGGTCATGTCGCAGAACAACAGAGCGAAGTTGGGGGGGAGGGGGTCGTGGCCTGCCGACCTCCATCTCACTTTTTGAGCCCTCTAAGCCCTAAACCCTCAGCCTTGAACCCGAGGCCCTAAACCCTAAGCTCTAAACCTAAGCACTAAACCCTAAGCTCTAAACCTAAGCACGAAACCCTAAGCACTAAACTCCTAAGCCCTACGCCCTAAAAGCCCTAAGCCGCCAAGGGCTTCGACTGCATTGCTCCATCCCCCGAAGAGGCCTGTGCAACTCCGAGCAACACGAAGAGAACCCCAGCAGTATCCGTAAGACTTTTGCATGGGTGTTGTAAAGTTTCAGATGGCTATGATAGGCTCATATGGGGTTCTATGCAGAATTACAGCCAGCAACATTCAGAACTGGGTCCATGGGCTCCCTAAGCCCTTAACCCTAAACCCACTAAGCCCTTAACCTAAACCCAACACTCTAAAGCCTAAAGTGCAAACCCAGAACCCCCAATCTCTGGAGGGCTTGGGAGTTGGGGTTGTCGGCCTTTACAGTAAACACCAAAAAGTTGGAAACCGGGTCAAGGACAATTAGTGCTGGGGTTCCCTTTGTAACTTATGTACCACTCTTAAGGGTTGATGCTATTTCCTTAACGTCTATTTGTCTCTGGGGCTAGAGGTGAAGGCTCGGAGGGTGCAGGGTTTACGGTTAAGGCCCCTAAGCCAAACCCTAAACCCTAGACCCTAAACCCTAGGGAGAGCCGCAGGCCGATCGGCGATACCGGACGAACTGTACCTATGACGCTCAAAATCGCCGCCCGAGGCACTTATCCTGTTCAATGGTCGGGAGGTGTGGCTTTTTCCATACCGAAAGGCCAGAAGAATCCAAATGAGGCCACCTCATGGCGCTCCATTTTGCTCCTTGAAACGGAAGCCAAAGCCTATCAGAAGTCCTGGCGCCCTTATCTCATTGACGTCCTCCAGGCGTGTCGGCCCTTGGGACTCCATGGGGGTCTGCCTAGGCACACTCTGGCGCAGCCCTCTGCGCTTGTCAGGAGCCACCTGTGCCAGCTCAAGAGCAACAACGGCTGCGGCGGGGCGGTTTTCCTTGACTCTGCCGCCGCCTACTATGCGGTTGTCCGTGACCTCTACTTTGCAGGATCGGGCCACGGTCTGTGCGAAGCCGAGCTCCAGGAGCGGGCAGCATTCTTGTTTGCCGATCCGGAGGATCGCCGTTTCTTTGTGCAGGAGATGTTGCAGGGGCGTTGGCTCGAGTCACTCAATATTCCTCCACCTGTGCTGCGTGTTGTCAGGGCGCAACTACGCCATTCTTGGTTTTTGGATGGGATGCCTGGCACACAGGTCTACCGCACACATACGGGCACGGCTCCCGGCAGCCCTGTGGCGGATGTTCTCTTTGCCGTCTTGTTCACGAGTTATTTACATGCCGTTGAACAACAGCTTCAGGAGCTTGACTGTGTTGCCAACGCCAGGGTTACATGGGATTCGGCCTCGGCCAGGGAGGTCGGCACGTCTACCCCGACTTGGGCAGACGATGTCGTCATCCTTTTTACTGCTGCCTCTCCTGCAGATGTTCCGGTTGTGCTGCAACGTATCGGCTCCTTCGCTATCACCAGGCTTGCCAGGTGTGGGCTGCGCGCGAACCTCGGCAGAGGCAAAACCGAAGCCGTTATTGCCGTCCGTGGCAATGGCTCGCGCCAGGTGCGCAGGGATCTCCTCACATCGGAAGAGCCCACCATTACTGTGCAGACATCGGAGGGGCCCCAGGATCTCCGGCTGGTCCAGCACTACTCCCATCTCGGCACCCAGCTCAATGCCGACTTGCACGAGCTGCCCAACCTGCGTCACCGCAGTGCCCTGTTGTGGGCGGCTTTTAAGCCGCTGAAACACCGCGTGCTTGCCAACCCATGGTTGACCCTGCTTGAGAAGCGGCAAATCGTGCTCAGTCGGCTGGTGCCGCGTTTTCTTCATGGCAGTGGGCTTTGGCGCCTGGCCACAGCTGCTGAGAAGCATGCGGCCGAGGCCCCGCTCCTGGGTGTCTACAGGCAGTGCATCCGGCCCTTTCTCAACTGTTCCTCGGAGCGTATGACGCAGGAGGAGGTCCTCAGTGCGCTCCAGCTTCCGGCCCCGGTCGAACTCCTGCACGTTGAACGCGTCAGAGCACTGCTGGACGTTTTGAGCCCTGACCTGCACGCCACATGGCAGGGCTTCCTCCAGGACTCCGTCTGGTTCAATGATGCTTTGGATTCACTTGGCGTTGTTGTCCCGGCCTCTAGTTCCTGGCCTGGCTTCGCTCCCGAAGCTGGAATGGCTCAGTTGGAGATTTTGGCAGGTTTTGCCACTTCGAACCGCCGAGCAATCCAGCTAGCCTGCAGGACATACCTCACCCGTGCAGTGACCTCTCGGCCCCCAGTTGATTGGCGTATTGTCCAGAGCCGCCAGTCAGGGGAGCCGGACCTCGAGCTTACCTCGGCCACTGGGGCTACCTTGCCCTTCAAGTGTGCCGCATGCAATCAGTGCTTCCTGACGAGGCGTCGTCTCGCGGTCCATGCAGCCAAGCGGCATGGAGAGCACGCCCCAGCACGCTGCCTGGCAGTTGGTACCCGATGTGAGCGCTGCCAGCGGGAGTACTGGACGAGCGATAGGTTGGCGGCACATCTTGCACGTAGCGAGGTGTGCTCGAGGATCTATCGGGAGGCGGATGTTTGGCAGAAGCCGGCTCCGCTTTCCAAAGAGGCAGGCTGGAAGCCAGCCATGGACACTTTTGGCCCGAGGCCATGGTGGTCCACGCTGAATCCTTGTGCCTCTTAGACTTTTGTAGCCGCTTTCAGGCTCTTTAGGCCTTGGGGCACTTTCTTCGCCTCAGTGGCTTGTTTTTGCAAGCGAATTTGACGCGCGCGACTCGCCCGAGCATGTCCGTCAAGAAAGCCCTAAACCCTACCGCGTGCGAGTTGGTCCGCTGATCGAAGAGACGCAAGCAACGCTCATAACCTACTTACTAAGTCCCCTGGGCCTCTAAGCAGAGGAGTTAACTTCATGCTGTCGAAGGGTCACTGGAACTAAACCGTGAAACCTAAATCCTAAACCCTAAATCCTAAGCTGGTCCTAAACCCTAAACCCTAAACCCAAAACCCTAAACCCTAAACCCTCACCCTGCGCCCTAAACCCTAAACCCTAAACTGTGGAAAAAAAATCCTAAACTGGTCCTAATCCCCAAACCTTCAATTCTCCCAGGCCCTCCGTCCCTGGAGCAGTCTAAGATTGGGAGATACTGCTCGGCTCATCCTCTCGGCTACAGTGGCTCACTGCCACCAGCTTGCTGGCGACAGGCATTGAAGAGCTATTGCGCGACCCTCTTCGGGAAGCGGAACCATCATTTTTGCCATTGCGCGACCTAGTACGCTGAGTCGCGACTCTGCTTTTGGCTCAGTTGGTCCTGTCAGTTCGCCACAGCTCAGCAAGCAGCCCAGACTGCACTTACAGCTCAGCCAGCAGCCCAGATTGCACCTGCAAGTGCCCCAGTGCAAGCGATGGAAGTGTTCCAGCTGCTGCGTCTGGAACGCCTGTTCTGTCAGATGGATCACGCTGCCATGGGGGTCACAAAGCGGCGGCTGATTCGATCAGCGTTGAAGATGCGAATGACCAAAACGCTAGCGCCTTGTTTTTGTCGTCATTGCTTGCCCAGTTTGCTTCGAAGATTGAGGATGGGTGGCCCCTTGACAAAGGGGGATGTGATCTGCAACTCCCACCGCCGCAAACTCTCGCGCTTCGTGGTGTCCGCCTGGTTGCTTTCGCTGTATTGTTTTGTCGTCTTTGTTGGTTGGGCCAAGCCAAAGCGAACAACGTCAAGTCTGAGTCCAACGCCAGTTCCGACTCCTCTTCGTCCTCGAGTTCCAGTTCCTCCTAAACGGCTGGAACACGACGGCGTGCTCTGTTTCACCTGCCCAGGCTTTGTGGCCGCAACAGTTTGAGTACTAGTAGTAGTAGTAGCAGTAGTAGTCGTAGTAGTAGTAGTAGTAGTCGTCGTCGTCGGAGTAGTCGTAGTCCTTGGAGTAGTAGTAGTAGTAGTAGTAGTAGTAGTAGTAGTAGTAGTAGTAGTAGTAGTAGTTGTAGTAGTAGTAGTAGTAGTAGTAGTAGTAGTAGTAGTAGTAGTCGTAATAGTAGTAGTAGTAGTAGTAGTAGTAGTAGTAGTAGTAGTAGTAGTAGTAGTAGTAGTAGTAGTAGTAGTAGTAGTAGTAGTAGTAGTAGTAGTTTTAGTAGTAGTAGTAGTAGTCGTTGTAGTAGTAGTAGTAGTAGTAGTAGTAGCCGTCGTACTACTAGTAGTAGCAGCAGTAGTACTTGTAGTGCTACTGCTAGTAGTAGTATTACCAGCAGCAGCAGCAGCAGTAGTAGTAGTAGTAGCAGTAGTACTAGTACTAGTACTAGTAGTAGTAGTAGTAGTAGCAGTAGCAGTAGTAGTCGTAGCGGTGGTCGTAGTAGTCGTCGTAGTAGCGGTACTAGTAGTACTGGTCGTCGTACTCGTGGTAGTCCTAGTGAAGTGGTCGTAGTAGTAGTAGTGGTAGTAGTAGCAGTAGTAGTAGTAGTAGTAGTAGTAGTAGTAGTGGTCGTCGTCCTAGTAGTAGTAGTAGTAGCAGTAGTAGCAGTAGTAGTAGTAGTTGTAGTAGTAGTAGTAGTAGTAGTAGTCGTAGTAGTAGTAGTAGTAGTAGTGGTGGTCGCGGTGATGGTACTACTACTACTACTACTACTACTACTACTAGTACTAGTATGAGGCTTGCAAGGCGGCTGCGTCGAATTAGACGCTAGCTTGGATGGAGAGCGCCTAAAAGCGGTATCGGTGGCTCAGGGGCCGTTGCCTCCACCAGCTGGCTTAGCTGTGATCTTTGTCTCACCTGCCGTGTTTTTTGCGCGCACGACTTCGCGACAAAAGGCTTGTTCGAGCTATAGACATTGCGACAGCCTTGTCCGCTTCTGCATGCTTGCATGTCTTTTCAGGCGGGTTGCTTCTGACTTGTGATGGCTTGAGCTGTGCATGCCGCCGGGTTTTCTTCCGAGAAGTCTTCGGCTGCTTTCCGCCCAGCAAACGTATTCTTCTTGTTTTTATTTTTTCCTCGCAAAAACCACCCCAAGCGATTTCGTGTGGCTTCTTTGTCTTCTCTTGTGTGTGATTGCGTTTTGTTGCAAAATTCTTCCTTTATAGTATTATTTTCTTCGCCACAACTGTTAAAAAGATTTCGTGTGGCTTCTTTTTTTTCTGCGGTCGTGATCGTCTTTTGCTTTTGTCTCTGTCTGATTGCGTTTTCTTTCAAGAATTCTTTTTCTCTCCTTTTATTTTGGTCGCAAAAACCACATAAAACGATTTCGTGTGGCTTCTGGCTCTTTTGTGTTCGTGCTTGTGTTTTGTTTGAGTTTGTGGTTCATTTTTATTTTTAGTTTTGTTTCGTGTCCACCCTTCGCGGCTTAAAGGGCGGCTTAAGGGAGGCTTACGGGGAGTTTAAGGCAAGGGTTTCAGACGGGGATCTTCAAGGAGGCAGAAAGAGGGGCTTCAAGGGCGGCTTAAAGTGGTTTAGGGCGCAAGGTGAGGGTTTAGGGTTTAGGGTTTAGGGTTTAGTGAGGGTTTAGGGTTTATTGTGAAGGGAACTAAAGGTTTACATAGGGTTTGGGATGCAGGGTGCTCTTCTCAATAACGGAAATAATGGGAAACAGGCGGGCCAACCTAAAGGTAGGATTCAGCCTTACGGTTGGGATCTTACGACATGAAGGTTTGATGGCTCTCCAGCTGTAGGGGGGTCATTAGCTCCCAATGCTGGCCCGTCAACTCTCAATCCCGCACCCTGAACTCCATAACCTCTTAAACTTAAACCCTGATCCCTAACGGCCCTAACCCATGTTTGCAGGGTTAGGTGTAGGGCGCCTCCGTCCTGAGCCAGGCGCGCGAGGAATCCGACTACCCAGACCCGCTGTGCTCGCAGAGAATTATCAAGGCCACGTGCGGTCTAGGGTAAGGGGTTTAGGGGACTTGTACATTGGTAGTATTGTAGTATTATGGTACTATGGTAGCATAGTGTTAGAGTATTAAATACTCTAACACTATGCTACCATAGTACCATAATACTACAATACTACCAATGTACAAAATTATTAGAGTATTAGAGTGTTATAGTATAGTACTGTCGTATTATATGGTAGTATAGGGGCCTCCTGCTTCAAGGGCTTCGAGCTTAAGCTTTAGCCTTGAGGGTTCAGGGATGAAGGGCTTTTGGGGGGGGTTTTGGGATGAGGGTTGGGGGGCGGGAGCGGAGGGGCTGTGCCTCCATGGGAGTTTCTTGCGATAGGGATCTTTGGGTTTCTTTCGTTGCGAGAAGTAGCATATCTACAGTTTTGCATCAGGGCGCCCAATTCTCCGGAAGTCCCATTACAAAGCGGGTGTTGTCGATGGGCTGTTAAGGAGATGTTTTGAGCATGTTGGTGTTGAGTTCCCTTATATAATGGGGGTTCCTATGAAGTGCCCTTAGTAGCATAGTTATCATAGGGCCCCAAATTAGGGGATTTGCTTTCTAGATCCTCCCGGGAGTCTGGGAATACGGTGAGGTCTTGTCAGCAGGGTATGAGCCAGTCCTTGGAACTCAGATCAATTCGGAAATGGTTCTCACGTCACCGGGTTCAGGATTTAGGATGGTCTGTCGAGAGTCCAAGACTTTTGTGGAAGAACTCTTGTTCTGGTTTTTGAATGCATTCGGAAAACTGCGTGCAGGAGTTCCTAAACCCATTCTGCCAAAGTATCGTATGTCGTATGACGTTGTTCATACTGTTGGACCATGTTTAGCTTCCAAGATTCTTCCTTGGTGTTCCTCATCATCGTCATCATCATCTTCTTCTTCATCTTCATCTTCATCATCATCATCATCATCAATATACGGTGTTACACTGTTATACACCCCAAAACCAACTTATAATTATCAAGGCCTTTACAGTATACAACCCTTCTAGCAACCCTTATCGAACCCATTGAAGGAATCCCCTCAAGTATCCCTAAACCCTAAACCCTAAATCTTAAATCTTAAACCTCAAACCCTAAACTAAACCCTAAACCTTAAGACCCTAAAACCCTAAACCACTAGACCCTAAACCCTAAACCCTGGCCCTGCTACTCCCCTATCTGCTTACCTCAAGGCTCGACGTGACCATCAGGAGGCCGCCCCTGCCGGGCTCAACCAGGGGGGTGGCGGGGTACTGCAGGGGTCATCAAGTCTTTGAATAGGGTTCTGGGGGATATTATACTCTAACTATGAATTTTGGATGTTCCTTATTCCAATTAGTGTTGACTTCCTACAAATAACCCACCCTTTCCCCTAGATAGATTTCGGGCCCAGGCAGGGGGGATATATTGAAGCGGGCGTCGGCTGTTCAGGGTAGTGCAGCGATACAATACACAGTAGCTACGCATTTATTGTTGAGGTCCTGGGATCTAGTTTTGTAATTGAGGGTTTATATTTGAGTCACGCAAGTCGAGTTGTGTAATTGAATCGGGGGGTTTATAAATAGGAGGCTGACATTATTTTAGAAAATATACCCCCCAAACCCTATTCAAATTATGAGGGCCCCTACAGTATCTGGGTTGGAGATGAGACCTTAGGGCGATCCCTGGCAGTGACAGTATTTTCTCTGGACGGTTGCCGAGGTTGGAGGTTGCCCAAAGCCGCCCCAAGAATTCAAGGAATACGCGTCATTGAAGGGATGCCGGAGTGCATGAACCTCTATCCGATCCCTTCGAAACCCGTGAAATGTCGCCACAAAACTTGCATAGACCCCAACAGCCTCTCATAAAGCGCGTTGGTAGATTCTCACCCTCCCCCCACCCAACACCCTGCACGCATGCTGGCCAGGTAGAAACGCACCATGCAGAACCCTGATGGAACCCCATCATGGACCCTTCGAAGCACCACTCCAACCAGGTTTTGAATCCGTCATAGAAGAGTACACAACCCTTCAACAAGCCTGCAATCATCACAACCATTTTTACTTGTCACATTCTGACTCATCGACCGTAAACTTTGCCCTAAACCCTAAGCCCTACACAACTTCTCGTAATTACGTAAGCAGAATTGCGAGGTGTTGTTCCTATTTCTGTGCAGCTCCCCTTTCGGTGAGCTCCCGCCAGCGACAGAAAGAGGCCCTTAGTGCACTTTAAGCCAAAAGCTGTGCAACCATGGCTAGGTGAGAACGCACGACGCGCTAATCAATGCCCCGGATCCTGTTCCGGTGGATGAGAATGAGGCTGGAAACTGTTGGGGTTTTAAAAGGGTTCCTTTAAAGGTATCTTTCGGGTTCCTTTGAGAGCTCTTGTAAGGGAAATGCAAGGGATCAGCAAGGGATTTTAGTTCATGGTGTAGGTTAGGGCTTTGGGTTGAGTGTTCAAGGTTTTACAATACAGCTGGGTTCTGGCTCTGAGAATCTGAGGCTTTAAGACTAGAGGGTTGTGTTGCTTCATAATCCAGGCGTTTCGGGTTGTGAGGCTTTACAGTAGAAGCCCAAAAGTTGGAAACCCAATAGCCTCAATCCTTAAGAGTTATGTATAGGGAATCCCAGCACTATTTGCCCTGAATCCGGTTTCCAACTTTATGGGGTTTACTGTAGGTTCTTGGGGTCCAGGTGTGTATGCTTTTATGCTTCTGCTAGGGCCTTAGGGAGTTCGGGCGTTAGGGGTTAGGGCTTGGGGTGTAGGGTTTGGAGTTTAGGGTTTAAGGGTTTAGGGTTTAGGGTTTACGGAGGGCGGTTCATGATAGAACGTTTGGTCTTGGCACTGGAGGGGTCTAGGGCTTAAGGTTTAGGAATTGGTTTTTCAGGTTGTCTTGCCCAAGTTTCAATGGAAGGAGGGGGTTCGGGCTTTACGTCAGTCCCGATAATTTCAAGGGGTTGAGTCAAAACCACGCGTGACTTGCATGATGCTTCACTTGTCCTTTTCACGTGCAACGTGTAGTTCAGGATTGCTTGCGCCGAGCCTTCAAAATCTGAGAAAGTTATCTCCTTGATGTCCCGTACATCCTGACCCCGAAAACTTACATTTCTAGACCCCATTAAACCCTAAGCTCCTAACCTTAGACCCTAAATCCTAAACACAGCCCCAAAGCCCTAAAGCAGCAAACTCTAAGAGACCTACTGCTACCCTTCTCTTCATTCATCCACATGGTTCTTGATCAGGGGACCGTCGGGCTTTTTTACGGGGTGTTTGCAGTGGTAGATACCTTAAGCTACCAGAGCCTATCTTTTTTGGTTTAGGTTCTTATGATAAGCCCAAATATGGGATTTGTCGGGATCCTACAGAAACTAGGTTTTGATGGCTCAAGGTAGGTCTAAGGACTTTGGAGTCATGGGCACTTAAGGTGGGGTTAGTACTTAGTGTTCAGAACTGGCAGGCTCCAACACTCTCGGGCTTAGGGTTTAGGGGTTGTTTAGGGTTTAGGGGTTTAGAGGTTTAGGGGTTTAGGGTTTAGGGTTTAGGGTTTAGGGGTTTAGGGTTTAGGGGTTTAGGGGTTTAGAGGTTTAGGGGTTTAGGGTTTAGGGTTTAGGGTTTAGGGGTTTAGGGTTTAGGGTTTAGGGTTTAGGATTTAGGGTTTAGGGTTTAGCTTTGCTGATCTACTTTCTGAAGTTCCCGAGTCTCCAACAACAGGCATTTTTAAGGGTTTACTATAGAGGCCTTCACCATTACCTATATGATTTTGGGGGTTCCTTATAATAATTATAGTATGCTGGGCCCCAAAACCCTATTCTAAATTATTTGAGGCCCGTAGTTTGGGTCCCAGGATTCGGCTGCCTTGTATTTTGCCTTGCGGTCTGTGGTGCTCTGCGTCCTGCCGCGGAAGAGAGATTCTGCTAATGGGCTAAATGGTTTCCATCAGCAGTTGGCGCAGTGTTCTGTGGTACATTCCCCATCTGCCCCGTAAGCTTGTCGTTTCATGTTTGTGTGTGTGTGTGTCACATCTGTCTTTGAGAGCCAGGACGATGAGTATGACCAAGAACCAGAACAAGAACACGTGGACCTTGCTGATTATGATATCAAGCAGCAGGCTGTGTGATTTGGGGCAAAGTTTGGGGCCCGAATCCAGGAGCCTACAACCTGCACTATCGAAGGGTCGACAGTACGGAGGTATGCTAGGTGGGGAGTAATTTGTGTGCTTGCCACCTCAATTACTTCTTTGCTCGCATGTACCTCTGACTTGGATTCACAAATTACTAATCATATGCGTAGTTGCTTGCATAGTTTCTGTCATTGCTTCAAGCCAAGGGGCCTAAACTTTATGATGAGGAATATGCTACGGATACATCTGCATTTTCCATAGCTTAGTGTTCAGGCAGGATTGTGCCAGATTTGCCATGCCAGCTTTCATGTCAGATTCTGAATTCTTGACTGTCTCCTGGAAGGTGTCGGTGAAGGTCATACCATCCAATGATGCTATGAAGCGCGTGGTTCGAGGCAGTGAGTGCTTTGTGTTCAGGATTTGGGCTTCGTGTTTAGAGTGCTTGGGGGTATTAGTTTCTTGCTGCGCTGATCATGCGCGTTGTGTGCCCTCGTCTAGTGGCAAAGAGCAGGATGGCGGCAGAACTCACAGCGACAATCACACGTCGATAAGAACCAGAATGATAAGAATGAGGAAACGGTGATAGCAGCCGTAATCGACACAAACAACGACTTGGTTCTTGGCATCGTGGCATTGGCAGTAGCGGCAGTTGTGGTGGCGGTGAGCGGTGGGTGGTCGCCTTACTAGGATGCAAAGTAGGCCCTTATTCCCTTTTGTAGGGTTTAGGCTACCTTATAACCCCCTTTAAACCAAAAAGGGCACCCGTTTTATTCCGAGGTTACTCTTAGGTCTAGAGCGTCAGTAGCATGAGTGACGAAAGGAAGCATGTGCTGAACAGCAATATCAGCACAGTAAGGACCAATGCTGCGAGCAATGCTCTTGAGCTTAACAATGCTTGTGACAGTATTGCCCATGCTTTCAGAAGCGACAGGGATGGTGATTTCGACAACAGGAACGATATTGATACATAGTTGCATCATCAGAAACTCCATCAAGCGCATATTAGCAGAAATGATAGCGACGATGCGAAGAAAGCACTAGCACAAATCACATAGTACCAATCGAAATGACCATGCCAACAACACCAACAACCAAGCAGCAACGATGATCACAGCAGCAGTATCGTGGCCTGCCAACTTGCTTACCTACCTACTTGCCTGCCTGCCTTTCCTACCAATCTACAGATAGCTATCCATATATCTATCTAAATCTGTCTATTTATCTATGTATTTAGCCGTTTATCTATCTGTCTAACTATCAATGTAGCTATCTAGCTATCTGTCTATCTAGCCGGCTAGCTAATTAGCTGGCTGGCTATCTATCTACCTACCTATCTATCTCTCTGTCTCTGTCTCTCTGTCTGTCTATTTGTGTGTCTATCTGTATATTACATATCTACATGCACACTCTAACTGGACTCAAGCATGTAGCAATAGTCAGAGCGCCCCAAGTACGAGGAATGATGGAAATATTTAGGGGATCGTCTGGGACTAGCAGTACCACGGTTGATGATATAAATCCTGCATTACCCATAACAAGGAATATACCATTATTCCCATAGTTTAGGGTCCTTGAGGTACTGCAAGATTTATATCAGCAACAGTAGTCCAGCAGTTGGTAGTACTGTACTTCTAACAACCACGGGAAGTTTTATCAGAAGAAGCGTGGTGGTGGAGTCAGTGATACTGGTAGTGGTACTGATACGGGTGGGGGTCATGATCCTAGGCTCAACAGCGACCCTGACGAATATGCCCCAACTGCTAAACGCAGAAACTTGAAACGCATAAGCGTACGAGCAGCTACGTATCCCGTCGGCACCCAGTGAGGTGAAGTTCTCGATGACTTTGAACCCGTGCAGCAGGCGGCTGCAAGCGTCTCATGAACGTGGGCTGATGGGCAGGGTCACAGGAGGAAAGTGAAATTCCATATTTCGGAGTGTGTGCGGTCTGGGGTGTAATATAGAAGCCTGAATAGTTCGACTAGTGTTCCGGGCGGCTTCATCCCAGAAACATATTGGGGAACCTTCTTTCCGACCCTAGACGGTTAGTCAAAGTGGAAAAGGAGGGACCCTTAATGGGGACCCCTACCCTATACTGGGCTATATAATGGGTACATAATGGCTATATTGTGGGTATATACCTAGGGGCCCTTATTGGGGGTCCCTCCTTTTACCTTTTGGGTTATAGGGCCTTGGGAGTTCATCTTTAGGGTAGTAGGATCCTTATTGAAAAGACACCAAAATAAGGTACCCCAAATTTTCGGAAACTCTAATCTCAAAACCTCCAACATGGTAACCAAAATCCGAAACCAAAACCCCAAAACCCCAAAACCCCAAAACCCTAAGGCGGCAAACCCTAAACCAAAACCCTACAGCCCTAAACCCTAAACCTTCGGCCTTGCAGGGTCCCAAAAGGGTTCGAAAAGGCACTGATACTTGGAGGGTCGGGGGACTTAGTAACTATAATACTATAAGGGGTTCCTTTAAAGGGGTCCTTTAAAGGGATCTATAGGGATTCTATAAGGGTTTAGGGTTTAGGGGATTTAGTAACTGGTTATTTTAGGGACTTATAAGTATCATAACCCCAATTAGGGTCCCTTTTAGGGGACTTATAAGTCTACTTACTAAGTCCCCCCGACCCCCCAAGTAAGGGGTCTATAGCAAGGACCCATAAGGGGTCTATAGCAACTAGGGCCTGGAGTAGGGCCTTATTCCCTTTTTTTAGGGTTCAGGTCCCCTTTATAAGCCCCTTTAAACCAAAAAGGGCACCTTTTTTGTTCCTAGGTTACTCTTGGGTCTAGGAGGCAAGGGTGCTATAAAGGTCTTCAAACCCCAAACCATCAGAACCAGCAAACCCGACACGCAGCAAACCTAACAACCTGAAACCCTCAACCCCTAAGGTCTAAACCCTAGACCTTAAGGCCTAAAGCCCTAAACTCTCAAAGTCTAGCCCTAAACCCTAAACCGTCCTTCTAAAGCCTAGACCTTAAGACCTTAAGACCTAAGGCCCTAAACTCTCAAAGTCTGGCCCTAAACCCTAAACCCTAAACCGAAAAAAGAAAGACCTAAACTCTCAAAGTCTAGCCCTGTCTGCCAGATGTCGTCCTCCTTCGTCCGCCGTGGAAAATCCGTGAACTTCGAGCCAGATCGTCGCATGCACGAGCAACACGCTGCTCAGCCACAGTTTAGGGTTTAGGGTTTAGGGTTCCTGGAGGTTTAGGTTTTAGGGTTCCTGGAAGGGTTCTAAAGGGATCTACAAGGGTTTCTTCAGGGGGGTCCGTAAGGGTTCGACAAGGGCTCCGCCAAAAGAATTTTAACGGGTTCCAATTCGGGTTGCAAGAGGGTTTGATAAGGGCTTTAGGGGGGGCGGGTTAGGGTTTAGGGATGTGTTAAAGGATGGAGAGTCACATGGAACCCGAGTCTTCCTTCAAGACAACAGTGAAGGTCCAGAAATCCGAGTCCGAAGCTTCTACAATCTTATCCAAAAAGTTGGAAACCTAATAGCCTCATTCCTTAAGAGTAATGTATAGGGAATCCCGGCACTATTTGGCCTTTATCCGGTTTCCAACTTTATGGGGTTTACTGTACAATCTTGTCCAGCTTCAAGGGCGACTGGCGGTTCAGGGTTGAGGGAATAGGGTCCTAAGCAAACAAAGGTCGTGGGCCTTGACCACATGTTTATGACCTTGCCCACGTTGGTTTTGATCTTCCCCGTTTCGTAGTTTTCGCGGGCTGTCGGTGTTTTGAACCTTGCTCCCTGGACCCTAAACTTCTATAAGTAGGGTTATAATTGGGGTAGCGCCATTTAGGGTACTTATAACCCTACTTATAACCTACTTACTATGTCCCCTGGGCCTCTAAGTAAACTTCTGGGATCCTTAAGGAACGGGGGAAGTTTATACCCCAATAATCCAGTAGGTTCCCTAAGGTTCCCCAGTCCCCCTAACACCCCCTTGCAATTCAAGGATCCCAGAAGAAAGCTCAGATCCGCATGGAAGTCCTTTTATGAATCCTTCCAGGGACCCAAAAAGGAACCTTCAAACGAACCCTAAACCCGCAAAGCCTGTGTTTTGGTGGGTTCTAAATCGAGTATGAAGTGTCAGTACGTAAATACGTATGTTTCGCAAGTCATCAGTCATGAAGCAAGCGACATTTTCAAAAATCGAATTATCTAACTACAGAAAGATAGCATTGATTACATGACACCGACAGCAGTATGTGCATCACCACGCATAAATCTATGTCGACACCAATCTATCTATCCATCTGTCTGCTGAGTTTTATCGATCTATCGACCTGTCTGTCTGTTGAACGCTGTGCGTGTCCGTCATTCAAAACAGGTCAAGGGTTTACGATTTGGGGTTTGGTTTAGGGATGAGGGTTTAGGATGCCGCAGTGGGAGCCCGACAGTTCGAATTCCTAAGCTCTGAAGCCCCACACCCTGAAAGACCCGAATTGTGGGCCCCAAAGCCGTGATTTGAGGCCAGAAGCCCGACATGGTCAGTGGATTTAAAGGGAACTCCAGAAAGTTGGAATATGGATTCATGGTAGGATCCCCTATAATCTACCTTAAAGGGTTAGGATAATGATATTCCAACTTTCTGGCTTCTACTGTAGTAAGTTTGTAAGTATGCGACTTATGGTTCCGAAAATAGGGGACCCCACTATAGTACCCTAAATCATAGGATCCTTATTATAAGGACCCCAAAATAAAGTACCCCTAATTTCGGAAACTCCCATAATAGTTGGCATATTTGCAACGTCCCCTGCATGATCAAAACTACGGGAATCTTGAGCCCGAAACCTAGGGCGACTCTTCGGCAAGGGGCCGCTGATGCTGGGGAAGAAGAAGCCTAAACTAAACAAAGAAAACCCTAACCGAGATCGAGCATGTGGACCCAAAGCCCTAAAACGCACACCCTAAGCCCTAAACCGAAGCCGAGATCGAGCATGTGGACAGCTTCCTCGATGACATCAAAGGGCACCCCAAGGTGTTCCTCGCGCGCGTGAACACCAGGTCTGCTAAGGGCGTTCAGGGTTTGGGGTTTAATTGGGTTTATGAGCGCTTTAGTAAGGGCCATATAGAAACTAAGGGTCTTCGGGGTTGTACGGGCGTAGCCCTTCTAGACCCCTTTAATGGAGCCCCTATAGATCCCGTTAAAGGAGTGTACAATTCTTCTAGGCTCTTGGTTTGATACCCCTGGCAAGTCGACATTGTTAGTTATGCTACAGCATTTGCCAGAACCCTCTTCTGAGTACTATGTATCAGAACAGTGATAGAACCCGTAAGTCCTATAAAGCTCTATAGAATGCTTTCGAAGCCTCGCAAGACTCAGGCAAAACCCGCAGAAACTCCATTAAGCCTGTATAGGATGCGATCTTCGGGTGTGACACGGAGTGATGTGCGGTCATCGTGCCAGGGAGTATTGGTGCAGTGGCCTCTTAACGACTACGGTTGCGAGTTTAGGGCTTTGGGCCTTGATAGTGCTTGAAAGTGTAGGGAGCTGATACGGTGCACGTCGTTGACATGCTTCTTTGTCATAGTTGGGTAACGTTTTACATGTTTATGGGTACTTAAACCCAGTAAGAAATAGGAATGTACATTCTTAGTCCTATTCCAACCATGAACTAGCCAGTCCCTCTCCGGTACATTGCCCTCATGCCGTGCCCAGGCGCAGAATCTTGGCACTTCGTGCCAAGCAGCCGATTGATGTGGTGAAGACCAAACCCATCTTCTGAGCAAGGTAGGCAAACGGGCAGGCCCTGTATGCCCCGAACTTGTGAACACAGACATCGCAGTAACCTGCGGCGCTGCCCTGTAGGGTTCCGCTGCAGTTCTTTCTGCTTTCAGAAGAAGCACAGCAGTGAGAGCTGTCTCACGAAACGCACCGGAACTCAACTCCAAAACCCCTTAATCCAGGAACTATACTTCTTAAGTCATACCTAAATCATAATATGAGTCGCGGAGGTTTTTGGAGCCTTGTCGCTACTAGTTGACTCACTGCAGCCGCTTTGGGAGTCAACGTCTTCAGGGCAACATGGTCTAAAGTTCCATCAGCCATAATGCGTAAAATGTGTTCTTCGAGGGATAGGATCTATAGGGGTTCTATATACAAGCGAGGCAGTGGGGTCGGAATGGTTACCAATATTATCCTGCCGGTTCCTCATTATAACTATACTCAACCCATCTAAACCATGTCCCCCCCTAAACCCTAAACCCTACCTACTCCGGTTGCTTAGGTGCCCGATGAGTACCCTTTGGCCGATTGGGTTCCCGTATTGAAACCAAATATATTGCCGAAAAGGTTACCCTTGTTATAAAGGGGGCTCCCAGGGGCCTAATATATTATTATATGACTATTACTATATTCTTATTACTATATTACTATTATTATTATGATTATGATTATGATTATTATTATTATAACTATATTACTACTAAAACCCTAAACCCATTAAGGTAAGGTGTTGGCTATGTCGGCGCCTTTATACTTAGAATAGGGTTTTGGGGCCCGTTATACTATAACTATAACAAGGAAACCCCAAAATAGTATTGGTATATTATTTAGGCCCCTATGGTATCTGTATTATTCATGGAGCTTCTGAGTAACCTAGGAGTATAGGCAGGACCCAGGAGTCACCAGTGCGTTGCGTGGCATCTGTTGTCACCTCCGGACTCCGGAAGCAAGCTTCAGAGACTTAGAAGAACCCAGTCGTTCTCCATGTCCTGATTTTCCGGTGCGGAAGCCGTTTCGGGTTTAGGTTACGAGACTCTACAGGTTCAGGGCTTGCACAGCTTCATCGGCTTCACACCGTTCATGCCCGACATTGGACCATTTCCGACCTCTTTGCACTGAAGGTTGCGAAGAGCGAGATTTCGATTTTTTTGCAGCAGTCCTCAAACTCGCCTGCATGGACGGCTTTCTTAAACCCAGACCTTGAACCCTAAATCCTAAACCCTAAACTCTACAACCCAAACCCTCACCCCTAAACTCTTTTACCCAAACCCTAACCCCTAAACCCCTAAACCCTAAGCCCAGAACCCATTTCAGGATCGAAAGATCCCATCCCAACGTCCCCTTGCCCTCCATTACTCCTGACCACACTGGAAAACACCGTAAGCTCTGAACCTAGGTTTGAGGGTTTAGGGTTTCAGGGGTTTAAGTGTTTAGGGGTTTGGGGTTTAGGGTTTGTAATTTCACGCCCTGAACGCTTGACCCTAAGCCTCTATCCACCCTAAGCGAAAAAACTCTGAACCTAGGATCCTAGAAAACAGAACATAGTGTTATGTTTAACAAAGAACTTAGCAAACAGGAGCTTACATGGACACTCTGAAGCGCTAGCTGAAAGGACGTTGAGCCCGTAGACCTCAAGCCCCACAAGCTGGGCTTTGGGTTTAGGGTTTTAGGGCTTTAGGGGTTTAGGGTTTTAGGCTTCTAGGGTTTTGGGTTTTTTGGGCTTAGGGTTTAGGGTGAAGCTTAGATCGTGGACCTTTCAACCACAAGCCCGGGAGTAAGGGCTTGAATACATGGTAGAAGTAAGACCTGCCACAGCTATAGTATACGAACTCTAAGCTCCGTTTCAGAAGGCCCCGTCCTTTTCCGCAGCTTCAGAGGACCTGGGAGACGAAAACTGACAGGCATTCCATCAGTAGTTTTGGTATTGGTAATATCAGTACTAAGCACAGCAATATATGCAAGCCCGCGAATCACCGCTCAATGCCTGCATACTACGTTCCTGGATTGCTCCCTGCCATATGGTTCCTCAACATGTAAGCACAGTTTCCTCAGTTTGCTACATATGGTTGGCGATACTAGTACTTGGAGGCCCAGGGGACTTAGTAAGTAGGCTAAAAGTAGGGTTATAGTTGGGGGAACTCCATTTAGGGTACTTATAACCCTACTTATATCCTACTTACTAAGTCCCCTGGGCCTCTAAGTAACTTCTGCCGACTTCTCGATATTAGTATCATGTTCCACGTTTCAGTCACGGGCAATGCTGTCATGAATATTCGCTCTCCTAGCAATCCCGAAACCCCAAAACCCTAGATAGTAGAGTGTTACTAGCATGCAGAATAATGTCAGCAATGGCAAGGCATGAACAGGAGCAGCACTAGCCATTCTGGGCTTCAGTGTTTAGGGTTCAGGCCATTAGCAACAGTTTCGGCTTACGTAGAATGGCGTAGCGGAAACATACGCAGATAGCCCTCATATCTGGGTTGCACACATTTGGCTAGCAGTACCTGGCAAAGTCAGTGGCATTTCCACTGAATGGTAGTAGTAGTAGTAGTAGTAGTAGTAGTAGTAGTAGTAGTAGTAGTAGTAGTAGTAGTAGTAGTAGTAGTAGAAGGAGTAGAAGCAGTAGAAGCAGTAGAAGTAGAAGAAATAGCAGAAGTAAAAGTAGAAGTAGAAGCAGCGGTTCCGTCACCCAGGTGCGAAATTGGTTGCTACTGCAACCTTGCTTGAACGGTCATGGGCAGTGAGTGAAGAAGTCGGGCTTGGGTTAGGGTTTAGGGTTTAGGGTTTAGGGTTTGGGGGTTTGGGGGTTTGGGGGTTTAGGGGTTTAGGGGTTTAGGGGTTTAGGGGTTTAGGGGTTTAGGGTTTAGGGTTTAGGGTTTAGGGTTCAGCAGCTCCGGATCGAGCAGTTTTTAAGTAGGGTTGTGTCTACAGTTTAGAAATAACACCCACCCACCCTTAGGACCCCGTAACATGAGGAAATAGAAAGTTTTTCATTCTCTTAAATGAATTTCATTCATAGTTGACTTTCATTCACACTTACATGATTTCAGAACTTCACCTCTACTGAGGAATGGATTTGTTAACCGACTGTTGGTGGCACTTACTTGGGAAAAATTGCCTTCCGGCAATATTGGTGTGGGGGTCTGGGGCTCGAAACTTGCCTTCGGCAACAATTGGTGTGGGGGTCCGGCGCAAGCGCGCGCGCCAGGCTCTGGCCGGCTAAACTATCTTATGATAAAGAGGTTTAGGGTTTAAGGTTTAGGGGTTTAGGGTTTAGGGTTTAGGGGTCTAGGGTTTAGGGTTTGGGGTCTAGGGCTTAGAACAGGGAAGTAGCGTTGGAAGCAAGGCTGACTTGCGGACACAAGCATTGCCCATGAACCTATGATACTTCATTGTCCGGCCGATAGAAGCCCTGGAAACATCTTGTTCGGAATCGGGGCGGATTCCAACTTCCAAGATAGCTGGAAACCTACCGACGTCAGCAAAGCTGCGCTGGGAGGGTGCCGGCAGCCTCAGTCAAGCAATGCCATTTTTATTTTCGGAGGCGGGGTGGATTCCCACATCCAGCCGATGTCTCCTGCGTTGGGTGGGTGCCAGCAGTCGCAGCCCAGCCAGACCACTTGTTTTTGGGAATCGGGGATGGGCAGGTTCCCGCGTCCAGCCGATGTGAGCAGAGCTGAGCTCTGTTGGCTGGGCGCCGGCTGTCTCAGTCAAGCGCTAGACCAGGTTTAGGGTTTAGTTTCATTGATCGTTACAGGCGGTGTTCAGCATTCTGTTTATCTTGCCTGTCCCGTGTCAAGATGCATCCTTTCGTGTCGATCACGAAATGATGTTTCGAAGAAGCCAAGATGCAGCAGAAAGCGCATAGATCCACTGCAAGGTAATATAGGAGCCTGAAAAATCGTATTCACGAATAAAGTTGCGATAGAGAGCCCTGAAAAATCCATTTCGGTTACAAATGAAGGCTCCAGTGTTTGCCTTGTCGCGGTTTCACCTTCCCTTCCGTGCAGGAAGAGACAGTAAGTCTCTCAGGTTTTCTTGGATAGGGGACCTAGAGACTCCAGTGTGCTTCAATTTTGAATTATTCCTCAAACCATGTTAGGGTAAGTTAGGGGTCCTTCTATAATTTCAGGCATATTCCTCAATGGAGGGATATTGGAGTCTCTAGGGAGGTGGAAATACAGATTCCTAGCTTTTTGCGAGACAGACCAACTTGTCAATGGGCAAGCCGCAAAAGGACCCGACACCCCAGGCCCTGTGCAAACATTGAACCTAAACCACAAAGCGCTGAGCACCTAAAACAGCTTGATGGCACCCTACTTGGAGGGTCGGGGGACTTAGTAAAATGGTTATTTTGGGGACTTATAAGTACCATAACCCCAATTAGGGTCCCTTTTGGGGTACTTATAAGTCTACTTACTACCTACTTACTAAGTCCCCGGACCCTCCAAGTATAACACCCTAAACGCACGGATGTACGCAGCACGCTGCAGCAAAGTGCTTTCCTTGTAGCTTCTGCCCAGAGACTCCAATATCCCTTAATTAAGGAATACACCTTAAATCATATTAGGGATCCTGCGATAATTTACGGTCTATTCTAGAATTCAGGTATGTCGGAGTCTTTGGCTGCTGGCTTTGATTAACACGGCTTCTCGGTTGTGGAGATCTCATCGGGGTCTCGGGTTTCCGGGTGTTGTAAGAGTTCTAACACCTTAGCATCACCTACTTTTATGTCGGTTCTCATCACAAAATAAGGCCCCTACAGAAAAGTAGGTTTTGGTGCTTTAAGGCAGGGTTCAGACTTTAGGGTTTCAGGCCAGGTAATGTAGGTGCCTTAAGAATTAGAATATGGTTTTGTGGGTTCTTTATAACCATTATAGTATTTCTTGCCCCCAAAACTTGTTTCAGGCCAGGTAGCTGCATGTGAAGCCCGTGCGTCCTTCCATCACTACTTCTGCAGAAGACCCTTTATGGTTTTGGATTTAGGGTTCAGGGTTTAGGGTTCAGGTTTTAGGGTTTAGGGTTTACGGTTTCGGGATTAGGGTTCAGGGTTTAGCCTCTGGCCCGAGACACCTACCAGCGGTGAGGCGGTGCAGGCTGAGGTCCGGGTGTGTGGGTCTGCCATGGTTGGATTCCTGGAATGACCGGGAGCTCTGTTTTGGCTGCCTGGTGGGCGGCGCTGCTGGATGTTTTGGTATGCTTTCTCCGTCTTTCTCGAGGTGCGCCTCCCACGTGTTCAGCGGCACCGGGTCTGCCTGGCCAAGCAGTTGGTCTACATGCAGGGTGGTATGATTGGTACGACGGGGGTTTGGCCTCAAATGGTGTCAGGTACGCTTTGTTCATTCAGAGAGTTTTGGGGGGGCGGGGCGTTCTGGACGCCGGGGCTTTGAGAAGCAAAATTGGGTTTGCAGGGGCCCCGTGTTATTTATGTACTGTTATTATTTAGTATACTATGAAATACTATTATTACTGTTATTACTGGTATTTCTACTATTATTACTATTATTACTAGTATTACTAGTATTACTATTATTACTATTATTACTATTATTATTACTATTAGTTAGTATTGTTACTATTACTACTATTATTACTATTATTACTAAAATTACAGTAGAAGAATAATGGGCTAAACTGGCCTGTTGTACTTTTGATGCCAGGTGGTTTCCTCGAGAAGCGGCAACGCTCCGAGGAGACTCTTCTAGGTAGACTCCCTCGTTCCATGAGTGCATGTGTTCATGAGCTTGTCTATCTGCTTCTCACATGTAACAGAAGTTGCCGTAGAGAGTGCAGTGAACGTTTGCTAAACGAAAACCGTTTGGCTCAAGCACCCTTTAGCAGAGTAAAGCAAAAAGTCTCACTCGTGCGAGGGTTCATTGCTGGATACCGTCTTTCTGACTACATCCTTATTTCGATTGGTTATCAGCCGTATTGGCTTTATACCTTTTGGTCTCTTGAGAGCGCGTTTACTTTTGCCACCATTCAGCGTCCAGACGACATCCCGGAGTGGCTCTGGAGCAGCATCCCTTGGAAGCGAGGCGGCAGGAGAGGAGGGAGCCAACGCGTTACTTTCCTTCGTGATATCATTGCGGGTCGCCAGCCTTGGCCGGAGAACGTACCTCGGGTTGATCCTTCTTTGCAAACAGAGGAAGCTTCGGAGCCAGGTGCGCGTACAGAGGCCGAGGAGGGTGAACCGTCGTCGTCTTCGCACAGCCGCTTTGATCGCTCAAGGTCCCCGCAACTTGTTAGACCGCCTATTCCACCGCAGCCTTTGAGACCTACTTTTGCAGCAGTGCCGGAGGAGATCAGATTCTTTCGCTTTTGCTCTACATCGGGTCTTTGGGAACAGCAATCGCGTGTGGAACGGTACGGGAGGCCAGCAGGTCAGCATCTTTGCTTGGACTTTAACCAAGTCTTGAATCGCGGCCGCCGAGGGGTCAAACAAGGACAAAAGGGAGAAGGGTTCGGATTCTTCCTCTTCGAGTTCGTCTTCCAGCATAGTTTCGGTTGAGGCTATCTATAAGAAGGAGAAGAAACTTATGAGAGTTAAGGATTACAACTCTTTCAAGGTTTCGCATTTCCCGAAAGGTGCCGCCGAAGCCAGGGGTTTCAAAAATCAGCTGTTCAGCAGCGTTGCAAAGCTTGCGAAAGGTGATGAGACCCCGATCCTAGAATGGATGTCTAGATGTTTGAAGGCGGAAAATCCCGAAGTCTTCGAGGATTCTGGTGATTACCCACTCCTTGATCGAATCTTGGGTCATCGCATGCTTGAGCTTGCTAAGGGCACAAAGTTCTCCCTGGATTTCCAGACGCTCCAAGAAAGTGCACAGAAGAAGGGGAAGCAGCCCAAAGGCAGGCATTTAGTGTGGGTGGTTTTGCAAAAGTTTCGATTGGAGAAAGATCGGGGCACGTCGCTTACCCAGCATCACTTGTTGTCGCTTACCGTCTCCGGGAGTGACGCCAAAGGTCTTGATGAGTTTCGTCAGAAGTTCAACTACATACTGGAGGCATTGGAGGTCGATGAACGCCCTACGGATGTTGGGATCCGCAGTCTCATGTATGAGCAGTTGAAAAATCACCCAAAGATGTCACTGCACATTGATCGGTACCGTAATTCCAGCGCAAACTCCAGTAAAAGAACATGGAGGTGGTTGTACCAGAAAATGTGTGAAGTGATAGAGATTTCGCAACTGGACGAAAACACCATGGCCATCGACAAAGCGCTTTCAAGTAATGCTAGAGTCAATGCCGCCCCAAATCCCACCAGGAAACAAGAGGACTCACAGAAGGAGAAGGAAAAGAAGGACAAGGAGAAGGAAAAGGAGAAAGAGAAAAACAAAGAAAAACAACAACGCGAGAAGAAAGAAAAAGAGAAACGAAAGCAAGAGGAGAAGAAGCAGAAGGAAGCGCGAGCAAATGCAGAGGCGGAAACGCCCGCATCACCAGCGCCACCGAAAGGTAAAGGCAAAGGGAAATCCCCAAGAACACCCAAAACAAAAGAGGAAAAGGCACAGCTACCGTGCATGTATTACGCATACAACTGCTGCAAAGCAGGCGACAAGTGCGAATACCTGCATGATAAGAACCGACTGTATGATGGCCCGCGACCCCGAGGAGTCAAAACCACATCAGCCGGTGTAGCGTCCGTGATGGCAGGTGCAGCCGTTGCCATTGGCTCCTTGCCCACGTCTTCCGCCCAGACACTTTCCCTTTCTGATTGTGATGCGTCGAACGCACCAGTCAGTAAGGTCGATGATGGGATGTGTGCGCTAGGCCGTGAGGCATCAGCTGCCCCGGCTCGCAGGGGTAATCCAACCAAACGAGCCAACCTTAAAGGGCGTTGCAAGTCTACCGCTTTCCGTGATGCGCGGACGTTTATCCCCAGAGGTGTTTCGTTCACCAGATTCTTCACAGCAATGATGGCTGCAACTTCTTGCTTCTCTCCTTTGTCGAATCCTCCTGCTTGTGCTGGACTGTTGGGTGACCTGGTGCCGAAAACTTCGGACATGGAGTACTTGATTGACTCAGGTGCCGGCCGGAACCTCATCTCAAAGTCAAGTTTGCCGGAAGAGGCTCAAGGATTGTTTGAGACAGCACCGGAAAAGTTGAAGTTTTCAACAGGTGGAGGGGTTAGGTCAGGATCCGATGCGATTAGGATACACGGGTCAATCACGGGAAACAATTTGTTTTACGCCCTCAAGGACTGCCCGCCGGCGCTAAGTTTGGGGATTCAAGTAAACGAGCACAAAAGAGCTTGGATTTGGTTCCCAGATCAAATGCCGTTCTTCATCAAGCCTGAGTGCCTTCAGGACGTTACGTTCCACTGCCCCGAAAATGCAAAGATCTATGCGGATAAGGTTGTGCAGAACGTCCCAATCCTGAAGGAATCAATAACATGCTCAGGCTTGCCCGCTTCCGCAAAAGCAGAAACCACGGGGACTTTCGCAGGACCGTTTGAGCCCGCCAGTTCCTCAAGTGATCCTGCACCGGTAGCGTTACGAAGAATCGCTAAAGGGAGAGGCGGTACTCGCCCCCCTGATGCAAGCCCAGACGGATCTTCAAGAGGAGCTCCCGTTGCCCATTTTGGAGACGGTGATGAGCTTGAAGAGTGCGTTGCACCCGAAAAGATCCCAGAAGACGAGCCGTTGGACGAAGAAGATGCGGAGGCTTATCCGTGGACTCCTTCCTTAAGGGAAAAGTTGCAGGCCATAGCTAAGTCCCCGGAACATCAGATCACACACTTTCCGAAAAACAGGTATTGTGACATATGCAGGAGGGCAAAAATGACCTCCAGATCCCACCGCTATCATCATGGAGAGGTGGACCCTGAAGAGACCCCTCCTTTGCATTTCGGACACAAGCTTCGCGCGGATCACATCATTATAAATGATGAGCTTTCGAAGGGTTCCGAAGGTGAACAGGCATGTCTGATTTGCTTTGATGAGTTTAGTGGTTGCTTAGGTGCTTATCCACAAACGCGCCGTACGACTCAGTCGAACGTTGCCTGTTTGCGGCACTTCGGCGGGACGCGAGCGCATGGCAAAGCCCTCTGCCAAGTGACGTCCGACTGTGCCCCGGAGTTGACCGACGCGGTAAAGGAGTTGGGGTGGTTACCTAGTCCGGGTATTCCGAACGACGCTTTTCATAATGCGAAGCTCGAAAGGGCCATTAGGAGCATAAAGGAAGGAACACGTTCGGTCCACCTTAGAGCTGGATTTCCTCATGCCCTGTGGCCGCGCTCGGTAGAATTCTTTTGCACGGCGAAAGCGTTCACGACAGAGGCTCCTGTTCACCCGAACGAAACGGAAGAGTCCGAAGCCTTCAAAAAGGGGAAGACTTGCTATGCAGTGGCTAACAAAGGGGATGCTTTTGAAGGGCTTAAAGTTCCTTTGGGCGCCTTGGTGTACTACAAACCTGCAAAGCACAAAGATCTTCCTCCTTTTGATCCCAGAACGCTCCCGGGCATTTTCTGTGGTTGGCGCATCGACCATGGCTTCCGTTTCAGGGGCATCCACCTCGTGCTTGATTATGAAAGTCTCCGAACAAATCAGAAAGGTTGTGGGAGACCAATCCAAGTTCACGAAAAAGAGTTAGTGGTCCCTGATTCTTTTGTCTTCCCGCTCTACGAAGCCAATGCTTTGAAGCTCACGTCTTTAAGCCCAGAGCCTTCGTTGCCAAAGATCGAACCTGGTGAGAGCCTTCCATTCGAAAAGGGGGCTCCAGACCCTGAAGTGAGAAAGCGTAGAACATACGTAACTTTAGAAAGGGCGATCAGATTTGGCAAGACGATGGGTTGTAGAGGATGTGATCGCATAGCAGAAGGCGTGAAGCACTCGGATGCATGTCACGACCGTTTCGCCAAGCTTCTGGAAGACGAACGAAAGGCCAAGCTCTTAGAGGAGGAAAGAAAGGCCAAAGAAAAGAGGGATGAAAAGCCACCTGCAGCTGAAGGAGATGCGATTCCTGCCGCACCCTTTGCTCGAACAGCCCAGAAACATCTGCCGACAGATCAGGTCCGAGAAGCCGCAGGCTCCGGTTCCAATCAAGATCAGCATGATTATTGGTCTTTCGATCAACAAAAAGGGGCGTGGAAAAGAGTACACGTTCGGCCTCGGAAACGACTGTTTACGCCAATGACCAAACACCCCCCTTTTGACATGTACACGGTTTCAGAAGGCCGTGAGACGCAGTGGAAATGTAGGGGGAAAGTTTCTGTCTACGAAGACAATTGGCAAAAGGGCAGTCCAAACCGTAGAATCTCCTCAAAAAGCTGGACTGGTGTGACTTGGTTTTTCCCCAAACAACCGCTGAGACCCGAAGAAGCGGAGCTTAGAGCAGCCATCTCGAACGCCGCAGACCAGCAGAAGCGCTTGAAGCCTCTACCAAAAGGTATCGACGCTGTCGCTTCGATTGTTCACTGCATGTCGTCCGTTTCCGAGGACCCAGAAGCTTTGAAGGCCCTTTCTCAACAGGTGTGCGATGCCGCTCAAAAGGCACCACCAAGAAAGAGTGTTTCGAAGGGAAATGGTTCGGAAACGATGTTCGAGTTCTGCTGCGACCCAAAATCCATGCTAGGTCAAGTGAACGAGAGTTTAGGCATCAATCACTTCAGAATAACGGCAAAGAGTTCAAACATGGCAGACCCAGTTCAAGGCGAATCATTGCGAGAGCTTGTTGCTCAGTTTCCAGGTTGTGACCTTTGGGGCAACGTTCCTAACTCCCCTTGGAAGTGTTTGCAGCACCCTAGCCAAAACCTTGACAAGCCCGGCTCCAGAAAGAAGCTGAAGGGCCAAAGGCGCTTAAGCATCAGAATGTTGAAAAACTTCATCAAGGTTGCAGAGCAAGTCCTAAGTCAAGGGGGTACGGTTAGCTTTGAGTGGCCTAAGAACTGTAGTGGTTGGAAAACACCATTGCTATTGGAATTCATAGCCCGTCACGGTCTGTATGAAGTGATTACAGATGGCTGCGCTTTCGGCATGGAAAATCACCTTGGAGAGCCGTTGAAGAAGTCTTGGAGAATAGTTACGTCTTCCTTCAAGCTTGCACAAAACTTGTCTGCAAAGCGCTGCTGCCACGAGTCAGGTTTCAAGCATGCAGAGATCTCGGGCAAGATAGCTTCTAGCTCTGCCCTCTACCCAGAAAGCATGGCCAGATGCATAGCACAAAGCTTGTATAGTCACAAGCTGGATGCCCATGTTCCTTGCATGCCTACTGTACCCGCACCCGCAGCTACTGCAGAGCATTTTCCCAACGAGCTCTCTTCAGAACAGGAAAAGATTTTAGCAGGAGTTCATATGCTTATCGATAGGAAGGATTGGCACAAACATCCAGGCGCTCAGGAAGCAATTGACAAAGAAGCCTCCGGGCTCTTGTCAAACGACACCTGGTCGTACGACGAGGTTGTTTCGCGTGAGGAGCTGATGAGGAGCAAGACTCCACTAAACATCGGCCGCGTAATGACAATCTTATCCATCAAGCATTGGGAGACCCCAGAACTTCGCAAACTGAAAGCTAGAATCGTGTTTAGAGGTGACGATATAAGAGACGAAAACAACAACCTGGCCGTACTTCAGGAATTGAAGGTGAATCCGTCAGGCCTAACGGGCATAAACTTCAACCTTGCATACGGCGCCCTAAAGGGACACAAAACTACTCAATCTGACGTAGTGAGAGCATACACGCAGTCGTATCTGCAGACCAAAGTTCCCACTTGGGTTGAGCTCCCACCTGAGCTCACCCCACCGGAGTTCAAGGGGGTCAGAAGACCATGCGTTCGTTTGCAGAAGTCCTTGTACGGACACCCAGAATCCGGATACCATTGGGACTACAGGTTTAAACAGATCATGCATATGTTAGGAGGAAAACATGTGGACAATCAGCAATCCACGTACTGGTTTGAAGAGTTAGGTTTGCTTCTCAGCCTTTACGTAGATGATATCCTGCTTAGCGGTCCTGCTAAGAATCACGCTCGGTTTTGGGACCTGCTGCAAAAGCACCTGGAGATTGAAGAACCATCTCCAGTGGACAGGGTCTTGGGAAGGAAGCACTTGCTCTCCCATGATGCTGATTCTACCACCCTCCAACATGACATGAGTGATTTTTGCCAGAATTGCTGCGAACTCTACGAACAGTTGTCCGGGAGGAAGTTGAAAGCGGCGGCTACGCCCTTCGACTCAAACATTCCGGTTTCTGACTTCGAAGAGAAAGGACTTCTAGCGGAAGCTGCCAGCAAAATCCTGATGAAAATCCTGTGGTGTGCACGTTTGGCAAGACCAGATTTGATGAAGCCCATATCAGACTTGACGCGGAAAGTGACCTGCTGGAGTCTTGCAGATGACAAGAAGCTGTACAAGCTAATGTGTTACCTGCATTCCACCCCAAAGCTCAGTCTGACATGTAAAATCGCCGACAGTATGGATGACCTAAGGTTGGGTCTCTATACTGATGCGGATCATTCATCAGAGATAGAGCACGCCAAAAGCACATCGGGATCACTTCTTGTCCTGGAGGGCCCTAACTCATGGTGGCCCCTTTCTTGGGCGAGCAAGAAGCAGACGGCAACGTCACGGAGCACGACAGAAGCAGAAATAATCTCGCTTGCCTCTGGCCTGTTTGGCGAAGCAATGCCTATGCAGGAACTGGCAGAACTCGTGTTCAAACGCGAAGTTGACCTTTACTGTTACCAGGATAATTCTGCCGTGATTCAGATAGTGCAGAGCGGATATAGCGCAAAGCTGAGACACGTGAGTAAAACTCATCGGATAAATCTTTCCTCACTGTACGAGGTCTTCGAAGACCCGCATACCAACCTTGGCTACATAGCCACAGACAAACAGTGTGCAGACATCTTCACGAAGGCCCTTCCGCCGGTCAAGTTTCCCGCAGCGCTCCAACTTTTGAAGATGCAGCGGCTTTGATTCGCTCCTCCATGACCGTTTCACCTAATTAGGAGCCTCATGCACCTCGTGAGAAGGGGGAGTAGAAGAATAATGGGCTAAACTGGCCTGTTGTACTTTTGATGCCAGGTGGTTTCCTCGAGAAGCGGCAACGCTCCGAGGAGACTCTTCTAGGTAGACTCCCTCGTTCCATGAGTGCATGTGTTCATGAGCTTGTCTATCTGCTTCTCACATGTAACAGAAGTTGCCGTAGAGAGTGCAGTGAACGTTTGCTAAACGAAAACCGTTTGGCTCAAGCACCCTTTAGCAGAGTAAAGCAAAAAGTCTCACTCGTGCGAGGGTTCATTGCTGGATACCGTCTTTCTGACTACATCCTTATTTCGATTATTACTATTATTACTATTATTACTATTATTACTATTATTACTATTATTACTAGACTTTATAACTGTTATTATTTATTACTATTACTACTGAACAATTTTGAATAACATTAATATCACTACTTAGTTAATATATTTGTATTACTTATTATCATTATTATTCTTAATACTTTTACTATGATTATTATTATTATTGTTATTACTATGTTTTACACAATGTAATTATGATATTCCTTTACTGCTATTACAATTATTACTACTGTTCTTGTTGCAAACTTCTGCCTATTGTTTGAAATTTGTGATTTCGATTACTACATTCATCCTTCTGTTATATTATTTCTAATACTACTCACACAAATTCGTAAATCATGCACATCAACTTACTAAGTTGATGTGCATTAGGAGCCAACCACACACACACATACAGACACTGACACAAAGCATGATGACACTTTGCCAAAGGACCTCAGGACTATGGATGCACGAAATGTAACACTGACAATTGCTTTGGACTTAATTTGCACACGGCATGTTTTGATTTCATTGTTATTATGTTTCATTGATTTTCAAACCACTATGCCACTTTGTGATTTCAAGTGCTGAAACAATTTGAGATGTTCTTTCAGTCATTGACATTGACATCAGAAGTAGAAACGTGACAATGTGCTGCTGCTTCGCTTGATGCTGCCCTTGTCTCACTCACTCTCCTGGTCCTGTGTCAGTCTACATCTGCCCAGCCTGAAGGCCTGAACTTACGGCTTTAGTAGGGTTAAAGGTTTAGGATGTTAAGCTTGAGGGATAAAGGGTTTTAGGGTTGCGGGTTCAGGTCGGGATGTTTACATAAGGTCTAGGGATAGGTTCAGGGCTTCAGGGATGACGGTTGCGGTCGGTGCAGGGGGATTTTGTGATGTACAAAGTAATGTTCAGTTTGGGGACCATAAATAACAATTATGTTGAACTTCCTAAACCTGGGGGTTTTAAGTTAGGGTCTTGGGCCAAGGGTTTTCGAGGATTAGTGCTTGAATTGCTAGGGTCTGGGGTCGGTCACAGTCTCTGATATAAAGTTCAGTAAGCCCCCCCATTGGCAGACATCTTTGTGGTATTAGTATTGCAAGACCTGCCCTGACCTGTAGTTCCTCTAGACTCTAGAGCACAGAAGTGGACAACTTTTGGTGTTGAGGATTCAGCAACATTGGTGTTGAGGATTCAGGGCATTGGAGTTGGGAAGTCCTACCTTAATAATAAATAATCAAATGCAGCACATCATTATTTCTCATCTCCTGAGACTAATGCCACACCCATGTGTTTCAGTCAGTGATTAACTATAACCACATGCTAGTTATGCAGTACAGTACAACAGAAGTCCATCTAAGAAAATACTAAAATATTCTTACCTTGTCTAGTGGCCAATACGTTAATCCATTCATCCAGTTCCATCTCTAATCTGATCTAAAGTGTACTTGTTGTCATCTATGACCAGACTTAGCCCTTGTGATCCTTGAATAATCAAGCCTTCAACCCCACCTGCATCCGCCAAGCGCTTCAGCCGGCAGCGGTGGCAGTGTGGTGCGGTGCGACTGTCCGGAGCCCTTTAACTAGCTTAACTAACTAAACCTAAGTCTACAATTTAATTCAAGTAATTATTAGTAACGTAATACTAACCCGCAACCCTGAACCGCAGCGAACCTGAAGTTAATCTTAAAATTATGCCGAGACCGGATTGACAATAGTAATGCAATACTGGTACGGTAAGTTATAATAGACACAGGGCCATCTGATCATCCATAGTAATAAGTAAGTAAGTATCGACATCAATCTCTGAGTAGAGAAGTGTCAGTTTGGCTTAAGACTATAGACCAGACCCTACAGCCTGATCCGAACCGACCCGAGCCCCACTGCTTGACATTGACCTAAGTCTAAGTGGGTTATGAATACAATAATATAATTAATATAATAAGTATATTGAAAATATGGAAATATCCGAGAGAGACTGAGTTACTTAAGTCTTGCTTTCAATGTACAGTACTGTGAACTTAAACTGAAATAACTTGTAGGCTTTAGTCTCTTACTAACCCTGACCACCTTAAACCCAGGCGCGGCATGAGGGGGTTTTGCAGTCAGAGTTCAGATTTCAGACATTCAGGTTCAGGTTCTGACTTCAGAGTTTAATTAATCTGGCCACTCGCACCGGGTGTGAAAACCCCGGTGGGTGTGCCAGGTGGCATACCGGGCGAGAAATCCCCGGTGCCACAGTGGCGGTACGGGTGAGAAATCCCCGGTGCCACAGACGACGACGCTCAGTGGCATACCGGGTGAGAAATCCCCGGTGCCACAGTGGCGGTACGAGTGAGAAATCCCCGGTGCCACAGTGGCATACCGGGTGAGAAATCCCCGGTGCCACAGTGGCGGTACGGGTGAGCAATCCCCGGTGCCACAGTGGCGGTACGGGCGAGAAATCACCGGTGCCACAGACGACGACAAGCTCGGTGGCGGTACGGGCGAGAAATCCCCGGTGCGACCGGAGACAGCACCTCGAGTTCGTGAGTGGTGTGGCGTACCGGGCGAGAAATCCCCGGTGCCACAGCCACAGACCTTGATCGGGGGTGCCTCGGGTCCGAGTTTTTGCTCTTTGAGAGGCTTGTGTGTTGGTCAGCTTGAGTCGGGAGTGATGGATGGCACTCAGGTGAGCCAAAAAACAAAACAGGGCATAAACGCTACACCCCTGGCAGATTTCAAGCCAAAAAACAGCAAAAAAACATACACGTGTAACTTATATACTGTGTGTATATATATATATATATATAAATGTATATAGTAAGTATTACTATTAGTGGTAGTAATAGTAATTGGTTGTATTAACTAATAGTAGAAACAGCTTTAATAGCAGGTCATAAGTCTTCGTAGTAGAATTAAGTAGAAGTAGTAGTGGTAGTAATATGATTACTGCACTACAGTAGTAGTTAGCATGAAGTGTTAAGAATAGTATAAGTACCAGTATCAGTACTAGTATTATTATTATTATTATTAAATTAATAGTAGTAGAAGTAGTAGTAGTGGTAGTATTCGTACTCATAGTTCTAGTATTTGTATTAATAGCAGCAGTAATAGCAATAGTGTTTCTAACTCCCCTTGCGGGGCATTTCTGGGAGCCTTTGCGGCGCATTGTTGGGGTCTCGTTGCGGCGCATTTCTGGGCGCCCCGCTGCGGCGCATTTCTAGGAGCCTTTGCGGCGCATTTTTGGGAGCCCTTGCGGCGCATTTCTGGGAGCCTTTGCGGCGAATTTCTACTAAGATTGTGCGTTTGGCTTAAGTTAAGATATAGACGTTACTAGGGGGTTAGGTAAGTTAGGTAAGTTAGATAAAAAGTTAGCATAAGTTAGAGAAAGTTAACATAAGTTAGCAAAAGTGAACTTGTGGGTTAAAAGAAACAACGATGGGGTGGCGGGGTCGTGGGTGGTGGTAGCGGGTGGTGAGGCGGTGGCCATCGCCAGCCACCACCAACCACCCACCAACCACCACCCACCACCCACACCAAAATGCGGTTAACAAATCCATTCCCAGAAAAACTTTGCACGCAGCTGATTAGGCTACTTAGGGGATCTTTAGAAATTTTAGGCGCTGCACCAGCCACCACCCACGCCACCCAACCCACCATCCACCACCCACCACCCACCACCCACCACCCATTGCACCACCCACCACCACCCACCACCCACCACCCACCACCCGCCTCCCACCACCCACCACCCACCACCCACCGCCCACCACCCGCCACCCACCCACCACCACCCACCGCCCCACGCACTGGTAGTGGGGTGGTGGGGCGGTAGGTGCGGTAAAGTGTGGGGTGGGTGGGGGTGTAAGGGCAGGCTGGGGTGGGGTGGTGGTGTGGGAGTTGTGGGGTGGTGGGTGGTGGTGTGGGGTGGTGGGTGGGGTGGTGGGGTGGTAGGTGGTGGGGTAGTGTGGTGGTGATGGGGCGAACCAGGGCTGGAGTGCCAGCCATGAACTTTTTATGAACTTTTCAAGCCTGGAAATATGAACTTTTTATGAACTTTTCAGCCCTGGAAATATGAACTTTTTATGAACTTTTCAAGCCTCGAAATATGAACTTTTTATGAACTTTTCAGGCCTCGAAATATGAACTTTTTATGAATTTTTCAAGCCTCGAAATATGAACTTTTCAGGCTTGGATTCATTGTAAATACCAATAAAACACTAAAAATATGAACTTTTTCCGGCCTGGAAATATGAACTTTTTATGAACTTTTCGGGCCTCGAAATATGAACTTTTTATGAACTTTTCAAGCCACGAAATATGAACTTTTTATGAACTTTTCAGGCCTGGAAATATGAACTTTTTCTGAACTTATCCGGCCTGGTTCCTGGCTTTATGAACTCGGGGGTGGTGCTGGCGGTGGTGGCGCGGGCGTGGGGGTTGCTGATGGTGGTGCCGGTGTCGGTGGTGCTGGTGCTGCTGGTGCCGGTGGTGCTGCTGTGGTGGTGGTGCTGGTGGTGGGGGCGGCGGCGGCGGTGGTGCTGGTGCTGGTGCTAGGTGCTGGTGCTGGTGCTAGTGCTGGTGGGTGCTGGTGCTGGTGCTGGCACTTCCGCTAGCGCTGGGGCTGGTGCTGTTGCTGGCGGT